GCTTACAAGCTTTCAAGAGGGAACCTAGATCCAGAAGGTGTGGAGGAAGGTAGAATCTCCATTGAGTAGTATCCAATCTGTCTAGGTGGGGCTGATGAAATGAAATGCAGATAGGTCTCTTGTGATACAATAGTGAATAATTGTTATCAGGACTGCTTGTGAGGGTTGGAAATGTAAAGGTGGACGTTTTGTAGCAAGGAGGGGAGTGATTAACTTTTCAGTCTAGGAGCGGAGGTCCCTAGGACCATCAAGGGAGAAGAGCGGAGAGTGGGACCTTACCCAGAGAAGCAGTGATGCCTGAGATGGAGCCAGAGATGATGACGTGGAGCGATGGAGCAGCTGAGGACTTTAGACCCAGAGAGGGAGAGGGGCTGTGTGCTGACGACCGGGGTGCAGGCTTGTAGTGTATACCCTTTGGTATGCATGGAGGGGATTGTAACCATGGCAATAAAACGATATACTATAGGATGAATGTAAAACTAACGTTCGCCCATGTAAACTATCACATAATTCACAATAAAACATTAAAAAAAAAACCAATGTCCTGAAAAAGACAGATAGTGGAGCGTATTTCCCCGCACACCCTGGCCCTGTTCCTGGCTTACTGCAGTGTTGGGTGGAGGGGTCTCAGGGACACCCCTCGCTTCACCTCGCAGACAAAGGAGTGGTTCAGGGCCAGCGCGGGGCCCGGTGTCTGGTCATGTCCCAGAGTCTCCAGTTATTTTTTCACCACAGTTCTAGGCCAATATAAGGGTCCCTGGTGGTGCATTGTGCTAAGTGCCGGGATTCTGCTCTAAATAAAGGTCACAGGTTCAAACCCACCAGCCACTTCACAGAAGAAAGATGTGTTGGCCCTGTGGGGTTTCCTAGGAATGGCTGGTGGGTTTGAACCACTGACCTTGCAGTCCAGTACTTCTAAGGCTGTAAGATTACAGCCTTAGAAACCATATGGGGCCACTCTCCAGAGCTGCTATAAATCCCATCAACTCAACAGCAATAAGCATTTCTGTAGTCCCTGAGTGGTGCAAAAGGAGCCCCGGTGGCTCGTGGGATAAGCAATGAGCTACTAACTGAAAGGTCAGAGGTTCAAACCCACCAGCTGCTCTAAGGGAGAAAGATGAGGCAGTCGGCTCCCATAAAGATTTACAGTCTCAGAAACCCTGTGCATCAGAATCAGCTGGGTGAGTGGGTCTGGTGAACTTGGTGTCAAAGAAGGGTATACTTTCTCCCTGTCCTGTCAGAAGCATGTTGGGATTGGCACAGTGCATAACTTACAATGCACTAGGATCCTGCCAGTGAGCGTAACATTTCAGATGACGTCTCAGGAGGGCGAAAATCTCCACAGTTAATCACTGGTCCCAAAGCAGACTTCAGAGCCAGCGCTGTGCTTTCTTGTAAGAGGAACTTGCGTCTGACCTTGCTTCTTGTCATTGAATGAACTGGACTTCTGAACTTCCCCTAGGAAATCGAGAGGCTGAAGGAGCAGTTGAAGGAAGAAAAGGAGAGGGCCATGCAGGTGCCCACAGAGAAGGAGGTGGCCCTGCTGCGGAGGAATGCTGCTGCTGGCCACGTGCTGCGCCGCTCGCTGGCCGAGGAGGCCCACCAGCTTCGGAGGACGCTGGCCGCCACTGCCCACATGTGCCAGCAGCTGGCCCGGTGTCTAGGGGAGAGGCAGCAAGCAGGCAGAGGCACGGAGACCCCTGACAAGGTGGGTAGCTTTAAAGAAATGTCTTCACAGTTCAGAACGCAGGAAGTCCCCATTTAAGGCGCTGGCTTTAGGGGTGGCTTAAAGGGGTGACCATGGTCTCTTGCAGCGTCCTGCTGTTCCTTGGTGATTTCCATGTGGCATCTCTCTCCCTGTTTGTACTTGCTCTTTTTATATCCTTGGTGGTGCAGAGGGATAAGTGTTGGGCTGCTAACCTCAAGGTTGGCAGTTCAAACCCACCCGCTGTTCCAAGGAAGACAGCTGAGGTTGTGTACTGCCGTAAAGAACCATAAAGGAGCTGTTCTACTATGCGTCATGGGGCTGCAGTGGGTCAGAAGCTACTTGGTGGCAGTGAGTTTTGGTCTGCAGTGATAATGGAACCCTGGTGGCACCACAGGTAAGCATTCAGCTACTAACCAAAAGTTTGGGGGTTCGAACCCACCAGCCGCTCTGTGGGAAAAAGATGGGGCAGTCTGCGTCCGCAAAGATTTACAGCCTCGGAAACCCTGCAGTGCAGTTCTGTTCCATCCAGCGGGGTCTCTGTGGCCAGAATTGACTCGAAGGCAGTGTGTCTGATGTGGGATCGGCTACACTGATGGGACCTCGTTAACGTAACCAAGAAAACCCTCTCCCTGAACAGGATCACAACCACAGGGATAGGGGTTCGGATGGTACCCATATTTTAGGGAACTCTTCCAGCCTACTACAGCAGGGATGAGGGGTGCTTGGGATCTGCCCCCCTTGCCAGTGGTTCATCAGATTTCTAAGGAGACTTGGGGCAGGATGCCAGGGCCGTCAGGGCAGAATGAGGACAGGAAGGAAGAGCCCACTCTACCCCCTATGCTGCCCTGCTGGCTCCAACCGGTTCCCATGGCTCCTCAGCCTCCACTGGGGAGGAGGATGGGCAGGAGGCGGTCAGTGTAAACAAGTTCCATGACCCTTGTACCTCGAGTCCCTGACTTGGGCCCAGGCCAGGCACCCTCTGTGGCCCTGACCGCGAGGCTGGTCCACTAGGGTTCGACCACTAGCGATTGAAGGAGCGGATAGCTGCCCGTGTACTGATGGACGTTCTAGGGGCGACAGGCAGGACTGGGCACTGTGGGGACCATGGAGTGTGCATGGCAGGCAGGTGTTGGGGGGTCTACTGAGGGACTCAGCCTCAGAAACTGCACAGCGTTGAGTCCACCCATCTGTCTGTCTGTCTGTTCTTGTTGTTAAGTACTGTGGAGTCGGTTCCGACCCACAGCGACCCTGTACAGGGTTTCCGAGGCTGTAAATCTTTACAGGAGCAAAAAGCCTCATCTTTCTCCCGTGGAACCGCTGGTAGTTTCGAACTGCCGACCTTGAGATTAGCAGCCCGATTCGTAACCTCTACGCTACCAGAGCTCCTTGCTGGTTCACAATTGTCAGTGTTGGAGAGATAGAGAGGTCTTAGTCTTCCCAGGACAGCTTCCGAGGTGTCCACATTGACTGGCTATCTAATGTGGAAGCAGCTGGCACGCCCTTTGTCAGAAAGTCCCTGTCCACAGGCAGAGGAACTTCAGGAGGGAGTGTCCTGCTCAGCCCCAAGTCACCAGGACTTTCCCTGTGGGCTTTCGACATGGTCCCGCTGCAGCAGGCATGGGCTCTGGGGGGCTTCAAGTCCCCTCTCTCCTCAGTTTGGGCTCAGCTGAGGCCCCGGGAGCGGCTGGTTAGGATCTACTTCCTGTGTCCTTCGAAGGGGATTTTCAGACTCAATGGCACCCGCAGATGCTCATGAGATCTCTGGCTGCAAACACACACTTGGTGAAACCGTTTTCACTGAGGTCTGCTCGCTGCTATGAGGAGTGGCTTAGGGCCCAGTCCTCTGAGCCCACTGCTCGGCACAGAAATGACCACTGCTGGACGAAGGTGTCTGCAGACAGGACAGGGTCGTGGGCTTGGAGGTGGCATGTGTGGTCAGGTTTCGAGGCCAGCCCGACTCATGACAACCCACAGGGCTTTCAGCAGCTGATTTTTCAGATGTGGGTCTCTCCTGGCCTTTCTTCCGAGGTGCTTCTGGGTAGATTGAAATAGCAGCTGTGCACACTAACTGTTGGTGTCACTCGGTGGGTAATGTCGAGTGAAATCTTACTCATAGTGACTCCGTGTGTTAGAGCAGAGCTCCCTGTAGGGTTGCTTAGGCATCCTGGTGTGGTGCTGTAGGATAAGGACTACGTTACTAACCACAGGGTTGGTAGTTCAAATGTACCTGCCACACCTCAGAAATCCTGTACAGGGTCGCTATGAGTTGGAACTGATTCGACAGCACCGTCATGACAATCTTACAGTAATCGATTGTTAGGTCTTCCTCCCACAGAGCAGCTGCTGGGTTTGAACCACCGACCTTTCAGTTAGCAGCTGAGCACATTAGCCATTGCACTACCCACAGACTCCTGTGTGGCTTTGTCGTTGCTCGGCGCTTGCAGAGACCCCACGTACAGCAGAAGGAAGCGGCCCAGTCCTATGCCATCCCCACAGTGACCACTGTGTTTGAGTCCACTGTTGCTGTCATTGCATTTCATCGGGGGCGGGGGGGTGGGAACTCTCCTTCCACTTTACCAAGTATGACGTCCTGCTCCCGGGCTGGTTCCTCCTGATAACATGTCCAAAGTACGAGACAAAGTCGTGCCATCCTGGCTTCTTCCAGGACACATTTGTTGGTTCTTCTGGCAGTCCGTGGGGTTACTCAGTCTCCAACACCGTAACTCGACTGCGTCTTCTGTATTCACTGTCTAGCCTGCACATGCATGTGAGGTCATCGGCAATACCATGGTGTGGCCATCAGACTGACACCTTTGCTCTGTGCAGCTGAATGCTCGATGCAGTAAGTCCTCAGATTCTGGACTGCTGCTTTGATCCCTTGGCCTTCTCACTCACTGCCATTGAGTCACTTCTGACTCACATCGGTGACTCACACAACAGAGGAGAACTGGCCCATAGGGTTTCTAAGATGTACCTCTTCACGGGAGCAGCCAGCCTCATCTCTCTCCACAATAGCAGTTAGCAGCTCACTGCATTACTCTGGCTTCTCTTCTAGAATGATTAACTTGGGAGTGTTTAAAAGTGTTTGAAAGACATTTAGCTCAAAATACCAATTTGAGGTCTAAGGTGAGCCTGATCCAAGCAGTGGTATTTTCATTCACTTCATATGCATGTGAAAGTTGGGCAATGGATAACAAATATCATAGAAAAACCGATGCATTTGAATTATAGTGTTGGTGAATAATATGGAAAATATCACAGATACTTTCAAGAAAAAAACCGTGTCTTGGAAACTGTGCAGTCAGTATGCTCTTGAGAGGCGAGGATGGCGGAACGTCATCTCGCGTTCTTTGGACGTGTGGTCAGGTGGGATCAGTCCTTGAAGAAGGGCATCATGTTTAATAAAATGGAGGATTCATGACAACAGGAAGACCCCTCAACAAGATTGACTGACAGTGATAACAACAATGGAGCCAAACCTAAGAATGTTTGTGAGGCCAGAGCAGGAGTGAGCAGAGCTGTGCATTGTTGTACTCGAGGTCATTATTAGTGGGGACCAACTTGAGGGCCCCTAGCAAGAAAAAAAGCCCTTCTTCTACACGGTATTCTCTCAGGACAGTCAGGTCCCTCTCACAGCAACCCTGTATGGGGTTTCTGAGGAACGACTGGTGAATCTGAACTGCCAACCTTGTGTTTCAAAGCAACTTTATGGTTTGCTTTTCCTACATTGCCGTTACAGCTAGACAGATAGATTTAAATGCTTCCTCCTACAGAACTTCCTTCTGATTGATAGAGACCTAGTCTCAAACTACAGAGATTGTGTAAATGACACAGATATTTAAAAATATATATTCTTTTTCATCTTTTAAAACTTCACTGGAGATAAATGAACACCAATAAAACGGTCCATATGCAAAGAGTAAAAAAAGACATTGCGCGAGGGCACGGTGGGCAGGGAAGTATCACCGCGGTCCAGGCCAGGCAGGGTGAGGCACTGGGCAGCAGCAGGGTCATTGCCATCTCAGTTCACATGAACGATGACCACATGCCCCTGTGCCACAAGCGCTGAAGAGGCCTGCAGTCTGCTCCTCTGAGGCACGCGCAGCCGAGCGGGGTGACATGGTGTGTCCTCTGCTCTTCCTCCTGCAGCCAGAGTATTCCAGTGGGGACGCCACCCTTCAGTCTGAAGTGGAGAGGCTACGGGAAGAAAACCGGCAGCTGAAGGCCAAGATCTCTCACGTGAGTCCCATCCCTCCCCCTGTCCCCACTGTTTCCCCAGAAAAGAAGGTCCACCCTCACCAGGTAGGTGGTGGGCGTCCGTCCACTTTCCTCCTGGGCTGCTCTTCTAGCTGGGCTGCGTGGTCCCAGGGGTGACCTTCCTAGCTGCAGGGCATAAGCACAGAACACAGATGCCACCTTGCACCCCAGCCCTCATTCTGGGGTATCAGGAACTGTGGGTCCCGCCAGGGGAGGCGTTGCTGTGGGTCCCTTTGGGGGTTGTGGGCCCCCAAAGGGGAGGTATTGTGGGTCCTTTCAGGGGGTGCCAGTCCCTTTGGTTTGCAAGCCCTACTGTGGGGTTGCCATGTCTGCAGGCCCACTGAGGTGACCGACCCTCTTGCCCATGGGCACTCCAGTCGGGCCTAAGTGTGGCTCTCCCCCAGGTGGAGGACCTCAACACCAAGTGGCAGCGGTACGATGCCAGCCGGGAGGAGTATGTGCGGGGGCTGCAGGTACTATGCCAGCCCTCGGGGCCCTCAGTGGCCCTCCTGAGGAAGGAGGTGGCCCGGCTCAACCAGCAGCTGGAGGAGGCACTTGGTCAGTTCCAGGAGGCTCAGCAGGAGCTGACAGCCGCTCAAGGGGCCCGAGACGCTGCGCTGGAGCTGGTACAGATGCTGGAGCAGCAGGTGTGTGGGGGGCCTGGTACCCGGCTGAGTGGGTGGGCAGCTGGGACACAGGGACAGCACTGGGTGGACAGTGTTGGACCCCTCACATGGACAGCAGGTGGACAAGTGGGTGCTGGGACACCACTGGAACACTGCTGAGTGGGCAGCAGATGCTCCATCAGGGGGGCAAATGTAGAGGCTGGATGCCCCCCTCTTGATGAGACGTGGTGTCACTGTGCAGGCCCCACCCTCTGGTCTCCCCGTAGCTCCTGGTATATAAGGACGACTTCTCGTCAGAACGGGCAGACCGGGAGCGAGCTCAGAGCAGGGTCCAGGAGCTCCAGGACAAGGTGGCCTCCCTGCAGCGCCAGGTGGGCAGGACACAGGTGGGTCCTGGTGGCAATGTGCATTACCTTTGCTGGTTTCCTTCCATGCATTTCAAGCCTGTCTGAGCTGCTAGACCCAGGTTTGTGGCAGGGAAGGGAATCGGGCGGGCTCCTCTGAGTCCAGTCCTCACTGGACCTGTATGTCCCAGGCACTTACCTGAGGATGAGGCAGGCGGGATGGGGGTGAAGGGGTGTCTGTGCTGCACCTGGGTCCTGATCACCCTGCTGTCCACTGACATCGTGCTCACAGTCAGTGTGTGGAGCCAGCGGGTCAGTGTTGTTCCCTCAACCCGGGTGCCTCCTGGGTGACCTGCAATCAGGGGTCAAACATGGGGGCAGTGTCCCCCCTGCCCCCAGTCTTCCCTGCTCTGGACTACAAGGACACATGTTGGGACCCAAATCAGCAGCATCTCTTCTGAATCACGTCCACCTGATGCAGAGCCCTGCCCATCCTCTGCCTGTCCCCGGCAGATCAACAGCAGGTTCACTGGCCTCTCGTGGTTCAAATGAGGGGGTGACCAGAGTTGGGAAGCCCCTGCTACCTGACAGGGACACCTGGGCTGTTGGCACTGGTGGTAGTCAGCACCAGGTGGGCCTGTGTCCTTCGGGTGGGGTGTGGAGTCCCATGAGGGCTGTCCTCCACTCAGGGTCTCATGAGGCAGGCTTGTGGCTTCAGGCCTTGTGTCTTCAACACCTCCATGCTCTGGGCTCCGGGCCAGGGACACAGGAGGGACATGACGTGTCCCAGGACACAGCACAGCAGGTCAGCTCTCCTGACCTGTCTTTCAGGACACCTGGGCACCAGGCCAGACTTACCCCCGGAGCAGCACGCCCCATTACTTGGAGACAGATGCCCCTGATGCAGTGGCACTGGGGTCCCCGCGGCTAGAGCCTCCTGCAGCCCCCAGGATCCAGGGGGACCTCCAGTGTCCTCACTGTCAGCTGCACTTCAGTGATGAGCAGGCCGAGGAGTTGTTCCGGCATGTGGCCGAGTGCTGCCGGTGAGCACAAAGCTGCCGCCTCCACCTGCTCCCAGCCAGCCCACCTGTGCCCACCTGCTCAGCACACAATGGACACAGCTCCACCAGGACCTGAGACCCCAGACAGGGTGATGGCTCCTGGAACTTACCAGTTCTGGGGAAGCTGTGTGCGTGCGGAGGTGACAGGCGGTCCCCAGCCCATGTTGCAGTTGGGTTTCTGCCCAGGAGCTGTGGGGCGGGGCTGTAACACCAGCAAACACACAGAATCCCCGGTGGAGGCCCAGCTAGTCTGTAGGACACATGGACAGGGACAGCCATCGTGACTGCCCGTCTGCGCTGAGTATTGGAGGTAGGCACATCAGCCCTGTGTCAGAAAGTTAGAGGGCGCTCATGGCCCTCACTCGTTTTTGCAATAAAACGTTCTTGTTACCATGGCTGGGCTGCAGGGCCTCGGTATTTTCCCAGGTGCACGGCCTGGTCCCTGCCCAGGAGGCCCCAGTGGACAGCACAGGCCTTCAGGCGGCATGCAGGGGCTGCCTGGGGACTGAGGACTCAGCACCTGGGCTCTTTGCTAATCCCCGACCTCGTGACCTTTATACCAGGCAGTTGGGAGGAATCTGGGGACAGATGGACTGAAACTCACCCTGTCAGTGGGCCTGGAGGTTGGAGAACCACATTCAGAGGGTCCTGGCTTGAGCTGGTAAAAGGTTGAGTGGCTGTCCGGGTGGGGACCATGAAGAAGTAGGGAGAACAATGCCTCTGAGCTCCCAAGGGGCCAGGGCATCTGACTGCCAATGGTGGGATCCTGCCCCCTCCACGCCTCCAACTGCCCCTCCCTGGGTCCTCGCAGGTACAGGCTGGTGATGATAGTCCTTCTACAAGGTCAGCAGGGGTCACTGTCCTCATTAGGAGGCGTGGGAGGCCAGGACTTTTGAGCCCCCCACCTCCGCATTGTTTGGAAGGGAGAAGTCTGCCTGTGTGGGTCTGAAGACTCCAAGCTGTCTAGTTGGAGACCCACACAGTGGCTGAGATGGCAGAAAAATTATGGTATTTAAAGTAGACTGTAATGAATTAAAGAAACATATTGCAATCTGTAAGCTAACCACTAAAACAGTAGTATTTAACTAAAAAGCTAACAGAAAAAAATTTAATAAGTATTTTTTAAATTCATACAAAGTATAGCAAGGTAGGAGAAATAAAGGAATAAAGAAAAGATGTGACAAATAGAAACTAAATGGCAGGCAGATGAAATTGTATCTGTAATTACATTAAATATAAATGGACCCAACACTCCAATTTAAAGACAGATTGTTTGACTTATAATTAAGATGGATAAAAAATGTAAAAGACCCAACTATATACTCATTGCAGAAGAAACACTTTAAGGACACAGGGTGAAAAAAAAATACAGCCCACGCCAAAACTAAGAGAGTAGTAGTGAGTATGCAATGATCAGAATGGACCATAAGACAAAAACCAATACTAGCAATACGATGTTGTGTGACAATAAAAAGGTAACAGTAACAGGGATCTATAACATGCCTAAATGCACACACAACTTAAAGGTACATAAAGCAAAAGGAAAACCAAACAACTGTACAATTATAGCTGGAGGTTTTAACACACCTCTCTCAGTAACTGATAGAAGAAGCAGGAAAAAATATATAGAAAGAACTTAAAATAATTAGCCAGTTAATTTATTACCTGACCTAAATGCACTGTAGGATAAATTGCTAACCACAAGGTCAGCAGTTCATACCCACCAGCCGCACCTTGGAAACCCTATATAGGGTGACTCTGAGTCAGAACTGACTCAACGGTACATGAAACCAACAAATTACATACGTAGAACATGGCACCCAACAAAAGTCAACTATATAGTCTTCTCAGGTGTCCATGGAACTCTGCCAAAAGACAATATTCAAGGCCATAAAGTCAAAACAAGTTACAAAGAATTGAAATTAAGGGGTTATGTATGTTCTCTGACATCAATGAAATTAAAACAAAAAATCAGTAATATCCAAGTGCTTGGATATTAAACAACACACTTCTAAGTAACCCAAATGCAAAATAATAATAATAATAATGGAATTGAGAAAATATTTTTAACAGAATGAGAGTGAAAGTTCAACTTATCAAGTTTGTGGAATTTGGGGGACTGTTATATGGATTTATCAGAAATGAAGAAAGGTTGAAATTCTGTGATCCAACTGTCCCTCTCAAGAAGCTAGGAAAAGAACTACAAATGACAGTACCAGGAAACAGAAATAATAATAATAGATCAAAGTAAGAAAAAGCAACTTCTTTTAAATATTCATAAACTGATAAACCCCCAGAGCGAGACTTATCAAGAAAAAAGGCAGAAAACACAAATTGCTAATATCAGGAATACAAAGGGGTGACATCCCTATAGAGCTTTTCAGACATTAAAAAGATAAACGTATTTTATAATTAAGATGGAATGGGTAAAATCCTTGTAAAATATAAATGATCAAAACTGACACAAGAAGAAACAGAAAACCTGAACAGCTCTATACGCACTAAATAACTCTCTAATTAAAAATAGTTTCACAATGAAATTCACAGCCCAGATGGCTTCCCTGGTGATTTTTACAAACACCTTAGATATAATACCAATCTTATCTACACAGACTATGGAAAGCAGAGAACAATTCCCAATTCTTCATTTTATGACATCAAAACCTGAGAGAGGTAAGAAAGAAAATGACAGCAGTAACTCTCACAAATACAAACATAAGAATCCTACAGATATTAGCAAATGAAATCCAGTAGCATAGAAAGGGTAATATATTATCAACAAGTGGGATTTGGTTATGGAAATATGAGATTTAAAGAAAAGGTTAATGTAATTCACCATAGTCAAGTAACAGAGAAAGAGCCTAGGATCATGTCAACAGAAGCAGAAAGAGCCTGACAAAATTCTGTTCATATTCATGAAAAAACAAAAGCAACAAAACCCTCAGGAAATTGGAAATAGAACGATGTCTTCAATCAGATAGAGGGTATCTGGGCATGTCCCCAAACCCTACTGCTAATGTCATACTTGATGACAGGATATTTAATGCTGTCTCCACTGAGATTCAGTGGAGGAGTTTGCTCTTACTGCTTCAACATAATACGGAAGGGTCTAGCTAATGCATTAAGGCAAAAAAAATAAATAGATATGGAATAAATGAATGGAATAGAAGAGATAAAATGTGCTATTTTCAGATGACATGACTGCTCATGTAGGAAATGTAAGAATCTGTAAAAAAAAAAAAAAAAAAAAAAAACAGTTAATTTAACAGTTTCAGGATACAAAGTCAATATATAAAGACTACTGTGTTTCTATAAATTCACAACAATTATTTAGAAAAGGGCAATTTAAAAAGTAATTATTTGCAATATTGTCAAAAACAGGATGCTTAGAAAAGAAATGCCGCTATAAAATGTTGCTAAGAGAATTAGCAGAGAACATACAAATAAACAAAGAAATAGCTTGTTCCTTAAGACATCATTTCTCCATAAATTGATCTATAGATTCAATACAGTCCCAACCCTAATCCTAGCAGGTTTCAAGACAGTGACAGGCTGATTTAAAAAACAGCGTGGGCATTTAAAGGATTGAGGATAACCTAGTGCAAAGATAAGGCTTTCTGCTCCTGCGAAGATGAACAGCCTCAGAAACCCTGTGAGTCGGAACCGACTAGATGGCATTTAACAACGATAATAACAACCACAACTCTGGGAGAACAACAGTTACACACTTGGCTGCTAACTAAAGGTTGGCAGTTCAAACCTACCGAGCAGCTCACTAGAGAGAGACCTGGTGATTTGTTCTTGTAAAGATGACAGCTTAGAGAATCCCATGAGACGGTTGTACTCTGTAGAACGGAGTCCAAATCGCTTCAGCAGCACCTGATAGACTAAGACAGTTCTTATAGAATAACCAAGTCAAGGAGTCACATGACCTTACTTCAAGATGGACTTTTAAGCTGCTGTTGTTAGTGTTATAAAGTTGGTTCTGAGTCGTAACTCATAGCAAGTCAGTTCTGAGTTCACAGAGTTTCTGAGGAGCAGATGGTAGGTTTCAACCACTGACCTTGAGGCTAGCAATTCAGTGCTTATTTTAAAATGTCACATCAAAGTAATACAGTTTGGGCATAGGAATAAACAAATAGATCAATGGGACCAAAGAGAGAGCCAAGAAATAGACCAGCAGTACACACCCGATTTTCAGAAAATGCACCAAAGCAGAGCAATGGGTATGTTGCTAGTTGCCACTGAGCGAGCTGAGACTCACGTTGACCCCTACGCACAACAGAACAAAACACTTCCCAGTCCTGCGCCATCCTCACAATTGCCGTTGGAACTCATTGCAACTGCTCTTGCAGTCTCACTGAGGGGCTTCCTCTTTCTCATTGACCCTGTATTTTACCAAGCATGATGTCCTTCTCCAGGGACCATCTGGAGACATCCATCCATCTTGATGACGTGTGAAGTCTTGCTGTCCTGGCTCCTAAGGGGCATTCTGGCCATACTTCTCCCAACACAGTGGGTTTAGGAAAGTCTTGTAACTAATGATGCTAGAACAGCTGGATATAAATCTGGGGATGTGAGCCTTAATCTTTCCCTCCCATCACACACACAGAGCCTGAAATGGATCATACACTTAAACATGATATATGTTTATGGCTCTGGTAGCGTAGTGGTTACGAATCGGGCTGCGAACCTCAAGGTCAGTGGTTCGAAACTACCAGCCGCTCCGCGGGAGAAAGATGAGGCTTTCTACTCCCGTAAAGATTTACACCCTCGGAAACCCTGTACAGGGTCGCTATGGGTCGGAACCGACTCGACGGCACTTAACAACAACAAAAATATGTTTATAAATGGATCATACACTTAAACATGATATATGTTTATGGTTAAACATAATATATGTTTATAAATGGATCATACACTTAAACATGATATATGTTTATGGTTAAACATAATATATGTTTATAAATGGATCATACACTTAAG